TAATAGTATAAAGGGATCTTTTCTCATTCCCAAGCTGGAATCTGAGTAACAGAAGGGAGCCTAGTCAGTTTGCAGCCTCTCCATTCCTGTTAGGCAGAGATGCTTTTCCCTGTAGTCTATTTCTTTCTCCATCTTGGCAGACCTGACTTTTAATGGTCATCTCTGCTTGCTGTTTCCTTGATAGGCTTCCTCCTGGCTCACTCATCCCATTACCACATGCTGTTGTCTCTCCTGAAGTTCTGAGCAGAAAGGAAGAGGGAAATTTCGTAGGAGACACTTTGGATACAACCCTTCTCCCTTCCTTTCTTCTCTGCTTTTAGCCCATACTGGCTTCCTTGGCCAGTACTGACCCATGTACTGCAGCTCCTGGAGACAGGTGCTCTGCTGGCTACAGAGCACCACCCCAGCTCAGACCCTGGGAGAGCAGTGTGGAAAATGCAGCTCAAGGATTAGGTGGGCAGTGGACACAGAACCTGGCTAGTGGATCAGGGAAGCTCAGCAAAATCTGAGCATGCCCTTTTGCTTCCTGGCCAGCACTTGCCCTGTGTTCCCTTTGGTTGTGTCCTTCTTGGTCTAGACACATATTGTACCATGCATACCCTGTAGCTTGGCTCCTCTGTTAGCTCTTTTGGCAAGATAGATCTTTCTGTTCCTATCAATCCATGGCCATGTGATAGGACTCGATGGAAAGTGAGGTGAGGCTGGTAATTTGACACGACAGCTGATATTGGGCCTTGACTGCATTTCCCACTGGCCAGGGCTTAGCTTCACAGAGCTTTTAAGGGTATTTTTAGTCCCCAGAAAATAAAAGAGAAACTAAACCTGACTCTGTGTGCTGTCGCCTCTGCCTACTCGGCTATTTTTACTTCCGACAGTCTCGGCCTGGGTCCAGCTTTTAAAAAAAGATGGAATTATTTTACTTCCATTAAGAAAAAAACCCCAAGGCCTGATGTTATCAAGTCGGTAAGGGGACATCTGATCCCAAAGTTGTCGGGCAGACGTCTCTCCAAGGGGCATGTCAGAGAAGTGCAGGGAGCTGAACGATCAGCAGATCAGCTCTCCCTCTGCAGAGGCTTGGTGCTGGCACAGACCTCTCTGCCAGAGTGCTTGGAACACGAGTGGCACCCACAGGACACTTAGAAAACTGACAACCCTGCCCCGGCAGGATGCTGAGCTGAGAAGTCCTGCACAAGTCCTGGCCCTGCCCTCCTCCCTGCAAGGTCAGGGGGGCTTGGGCAGGCAGGGGAGCAGAGAACAAGCTGTGGGGGAGCTGGAACTCAACTCCTGGGGCATACACCAGGGTCAGCTCCATAGCTAGGTCAGATGAGGAGGACTTTTATGCAGCGTTTCTCAAAAGGTAACAAAATTGAATAAACAGCAGCAGTTTATTGCCATACAGGGGAATGGGAGGATAGGGCATGTGTCCAGAACAGAGAGCCTTAATTTGAAGGAACTGCCATCAAGATAAGTTATCAAAGGGTGGTGCTTTCCAAACTTTGTCCTATACTGTTGATCTCAACTCCTTGCTGACACAAAGGGGGGTCCAGGAGTGCCTGTGGCCGTGACATTTTTGTAGGATTAGTGTCTTCTCTCCTTTGAACTGGCCAGTTGTGATTGATGTGAGCATAGGGTTTGTGCAGGAGCTTTATTTTGCTGCTGTCTTGTTGTGAGGCTGCAGTACCAAATCCTGTGTAAGTCTTCAGTGTGGACAGCTGCATTTCATGCGTGGCTGCTGCACCTTGCAGTTAAGGCTCAGGTGGCTGCACATGTGGTGTTTAACCTGCCCTTGTGATTACAGTGTACATGCCCCTCAGCTTTGCTCCAGCCCTCTCTCTTTCATCTTCCTTTTCCTTACAGTCTCTCACTTCCATTCATATCCCAGCTTACATTCCCCTCCATTTCTTCTCTGCTTAGTGTTTTCCTTCATGCTGCTTCTCTGGGCTCACCCCCCACACCTCCCCACTCCATTTTAATGTCTGTCCTTTAGTGTCCCTCTCAGAGCTGCACTGTAACCAGCCTGTCTGTCTTAAAATCAGCCACAGAGCAAATCAAGCAGAGCAGCAGGCATTAACCTGAGTACCTAGATACCACAGGTACTGATTTTTGGCCATGCCCTTTCCTTCCATCTAGTTATGACTCATTAGGCTGTCAGATCTTTAGAAAAAGGATTTTACCATTATGCTTATGCCTGGAGTGTCGCAGTCAGGGACTTGGAGGGTTGAAATGCTTTTGTTTACTGTAGTACCTGTCACTGTAGACTACAGAACCTGTCGTCACTTCACTCAGCAGCTGGACCTGGCATGTGCTGTGTGGGGCTCAGCCTGTTCACCAGCTCTGCGGTTGGAGCAATGATGACAGGCTAGAATTGTGGCTCTGCAAGTGCTGATTGAAAATGTTTGCCTCAAGGAGTGTCACAAGGGAAGGGGAACAAGAGGAGGACAAACAGTTGTTCAAAATTAACAAGCTGAAGTCCTTGGGCAAACAGACCTCTATCTGCTCAGTGAGGGAAGGAGGGATGGAGGGTAAATCTCTCTGCGTCTTTCTTATCTTTTTTTAATGCACTTAAGTCCCTTGTGTCCTTATAATCTGATTGAGGGTCCCTAATACTGCTGCAACCTGTGCAGCCATCCCTCTGCCAAGCACTGGAAGATGGCATTCTCCTTGGGAGGAGGAGACAGGCTCCTTCCCCCTTTCCTCCCTACTCCTCCTCGTTCCCGCTCCCGCTGCTTAGCAAACTGCACAGCAAAAGCATCCTGGAGAGCTGTGTGTTGGTTTCTGTCAGCTGAGAATGGCATCTCCTTCTTTCCCTCCCCTGACCACTGGTGTGAGGGAATGCACCCAGCTATGATCCTTATCTGGGAGGGTCCTGGGAAGATGCGATTCAGTCCTGAATCTTGGCAGCCTGTTCCTCTATAATCTTCCAACAGTATATTCCTGATTCTTTTCTTTTTCATACCTGGTTATTTGGTTTACTGGCAGTTCCAGAAATTTGTGTCCCTCCCTTGTCTCTGGGCTTATAGGTAGCTGTCATTCATTCAGCAAAGCATGGAATAGAGTCTTATTTCTTAAGAAACCAGGGCATGTTTATAGAGGGAAAGAAATCATGGATGGAAGTGAAAATGTCCTGCTTCACCCAGGATTTTATTACTGCTGTTCCTTAGGGATCTCCCTAGATAACCTCAGGTTTGGGATTCCCTGGCTGTCCTTTTTAAAATTGCTCTCTGAAGTGTGTTTGGGCTCCCAGGAAGGAGTCTTGCCCACAGGCTATCTGCCATGGGAAATGGAAGTAGAACAAGCAATAGGCATCATTTTCAGAAACAACACCATGTAATGGAAGAGAAAGGTGGTACTTAGGGATGTCCGTAAATTCTCTATACGGAGTAAGAAATAGAAAATGGGACAGGGGAAAGAAATTACTCAGTGTGACCTGAGCTCACCTACATCAGCTTCATACCTTTCTCTCCATCTTCTCCAACACCTGCTGTCCTCCCATAGCAGTCCCCCACAGCAGCAGCTCCCTTGCTGTGCAGAGCGTCACACCTGCTCATTCCTGCTTCTCCTGCTCAGTGTGAGATCCTGCTGCCAGACTGAGTGTTGTTGGCCTGGTATTCTTGTTGCTTAGGGGGCAATTGGTAGTCAAATTGTTTTGGTGCTCTAGCCAGGAAGAGTATCAGGATCCAGACGTTGTTGCAAGTAGTGGTTTCAGGTGGTGCAGGTGTGGCTGGTTGTGAGCGTCACAGTAAAAACTTTATCTTTTCCCGGACAGAGTAAGCAAACATGGCATTGAAAGGCAGTGTGACAGACATGCCTCCTTCTAGGGTAGAATATTTGCCAGCTGACTGCAGATTTTTTCAGGTGTATTGGTTGTTCAAAAAGTGTCACTTCAAAACTGATGTGGAGTGTTTGCTTTTAGTTGTTTGTGTTTATGTAGTGGTATGATTGCAAAATATTAATGACTTAATGTGATTAGTAAGTGTATCATTTAATTGGTTCCCATGATCAGACTAGGTAAACTCCTGTGTGTTTCTAAGGAAGTACTTGTATAGTGTAAATTCAAAATTTTATTCTAATCAAATGGTCCTACATTTACCTTGAAAGAATTTTTTCCCAAAGCTGTTTCTCCCAGCAAGACTGAGTTACCCCAATTTCACAGAGTGACTATCAGAGTCCATATGGCTGCTAAGAAAATAACAGACAACTGCATAAATATCTGTAGGGTTTTTTTCACAGTTTCTTTTTAACATCGTATTTTGTACTAATGTGACAACTTAGTTGTTCCTGGTCTATTGATGATGCTATGGTTTTTTTGCCTGGTGACAATCACGGGTACTTCCCAGTCACTGGGAGTTTTTTCACTGTACTCTGAAAGAGCTGCAACAAATTCTTCAGTGTCTCCCTACTTCGTCTTTATCATTGCTTTATTGTAGTCAAGGTTGTTTCTATTTATTTGGATTCTACTTTTATTACAGTTGCCTTACTTGATCGAGGCTGAAACACCTTTGTTGAATTCATAGTTCATTATCTGTTTGCTGTAGGTCACTTTTTTCAAATATAAACAGTGAGAGGTCACAGAACATTTAACTTCTCATTTTTAAGAACAATCTAAAAGCTTATTTTTATAACTGCTGGCTTGATTGACACTTAAAGTCTTTCTTTTTAAAAGCAGGATCATGTAGAGGGCATTGAGTTCTGAAGCTTTTCATTTTCCCATCAGATTTATAGCAATTCAAGAGTTTGAATGGGTTAATTTCTGTGGCCATTAATGTTTTAAATAAAAGTAAAGCTCAGAGCAGCATGCTTAGAGCTGGAGGCAGTCTAGCTGGTATTGAGATTTATGGGTTCAGCTGAGATCTCAAGTGAGATCTCTGAGATCTTATCTCAAGGGAGAGGGAAGCTCCCTGGAGTGTGGGGAACATCCTACTTAGCAAATTTTAGTATTTGCATGCCAAGGTTTCGTAAGGCACTAAGGAATCATGAGGACTTTTTGGTTTTACCTGCAGGTGTTCGTCTGGATCGAGTCCGTGGAGGTCGTCAGAAATACAAAAGGAGACTGGATTCTGAGAGCAGCACTTACCTGAGCTTACAGATCCCTCCCCCAGCTAAAAAGCCATGTATGTATTGGTCTTGAATTGTGGTCCTCTGAGCTGCCACTATATTTCTTCTCACTGGTCTCCCAAAAGTACAGTGTAGCAATTAGCAATTGTCACTTCCAATTCCTCTATCAGTCAACAGTACGGGAATTTTTTCTCACGATTGTATTGTAGAAGTAACTAGACAGGCCTAGGTACAGCTCAGGTACTGTATTCATTGTACCTAAGGTTAAATACCAGACCTTTCCTAGGAGATTACGTAAATCCATTTAGTGATATTCTGATCTTTTCCTTTACCCAAGCCATGTTAACAAAACCAGTCCCATGCTGATTACTCTCTTCACTACTACCCATAGCTCTTTAAACTTTTCCACATCCTACTGACTTTTTGTTTATACCTCCTTCTCCCCTCAGAGGACCTGCCTGAGACAATGACAACATTACAGCAGCTTCCTGCTTTTGTCATCCCTGTGCAGAGCTGGTTTGTCACAGGCAGACCACTACAGCTTGCGTAGCTGCAGTGTGGTTTTCTGTTGTGACCAAAACCATTACCGAGGTCCTAGGGGCTCTATAGTCATGTCTTATCCCAGGAGGGTTCACCTTATCTCACAAGAGATACAACAGCTTCTCCTTTGAAATGTGCAGTGACTAAGATCGTCTCCCACTTGCTGGTGGCTGAGCCAGAGAAGATTTATGCCATGCCTGATCCAACCATGCCGGAGAGTGACATCAAAGCCCTGACAACCCTCTGTGACCTGGCAGACAGGGAATTGGTGGTGATCATTGGCTGGGCAAAGCACATCCCAGGTAAATGGGGAATTACAAGGATGTAAGCATGAACAGCAGAGGGAGCTATTATTTATCTATGTGCCTATCCATTTTAGTCTCAACGAGGACTTTTTCCTATAGTGATGGGTGGAAAATACTGCTAGTGATGGGCTCTCATTGGTAACAAACTCCAGTGCAGCCTATGATGGAGGTGCATAAATTGATCACTGTACATGTCTGTATGCAGAAGGCTTTGATATGATACAATGAAGTTCTCTGTTGCATTGAGTGGCCCAGTGGAAGCACATGGGAGACAGCCTTACGGATGGTATGGTAGACTTGTGTAGTTTTGCACTACATCAACATGACCTAGCTCTGTTGTGTTCATAGCTGAATAAATACTATGGCAGTGACTGGACTTTACTGCTAAATAACAAGGCAGATACACACCTTCTCAGCAGTGGGCATTCTTGTCCAGACTCAGGAAATCTTGTCCTAATGGATTTATGACAGAACAAATCCCATTGCGATGGACGATGTGCTATTGCCAGTGAATCTCAAAGCTTCTTTGTTGACAAATAATGAGGACAACTTATTGGCAGTGTGACTGCCTTGGAAGACTCACTGACTATGCAGTGTGTGTCTGTGTGACTGAGTGACATAGCAAGTGTCCCACACTTGCAGGTAGGGTGGACCAAGGCTGAAGGAGCAGATACGGCCCTCAGGGTTGAGTTATGGGTTCTTCCCAGATTTGGATTGGGAAGGGAAAATGCTCCCCTCTCTCTAGTCTCTCTCCAGCCTCACCAGAAACAGGTTGGATTTGTGTGTGGAGAAGGCTAGCCAGGGAACTTAGAGGATAGCCGTGGGATTTACAAGGCTGCTTTCCAAAGATTGCTTCAGAAATTCACTATGAACAGCTCACTAAAGCTGTTTATAAACAGCTCACTTCAGTTATCTCCTGCCTTCTGTTCCCCTTCCTTTTGTCAGGAGAATATATGAGGCTCTGATACAGGATCACAGGATTTACTGCATGCTGACTATGTCTTCCACTGCATGGGCTCTGTGTTGTTTTGTTTTGCTTCTTGGCTTTCTTCTTTTTTTTTTTTTTTTTGATGAAGCATCTTAACATATGTGATCAGACAGTTTAGTTTTCCCATGTATTTTGTTTCTTTGTTTCTTTCTGTTGCTTCTCATTTGGCTTTTTGGCAGCTGCTTCTCTTTTTCTGTAATGTGTTTCTCCTGGGACCCAAGAGTTAATGGTTTTATGGGCTATATGGAATATGGATTGTTATGAGATGGGACTCTGAAGTCTGAAGAAACATTTTCAGGACAGTATTTCTGAGAAGAGGTTAATCTTGGTGATGCCCTTCTTACATGAGATCTGCCATATCTGAAGGGATTATAACCATCACTAGTGCTGGAATCCATCTGGGGCTGATTCATCACAAGTGGGGTTACAGTGGTGATTAGAGAACTCAGCCTGGATTGCTCTACTAACCCAATACCTGGCGTGTTATAGGAATGGATTTAATGCAATGCAATTAGGTGCTGTGGCTGTCCAGTGAGGTGCTGTTGTACATCCCTCTAACCTTGGCTATATCTGTTCACACAGTGTGCCCTACTGTAGTTCCCTATCTTGTGGGAAGAGCCGAATTCCTACAGAGTTTTCCATCCTGGCAATACTGTCCCAGAACAGGAGTATAGTAGAGATTGCTCCTGCACTATGAAAGGGGCTCTTCCTCTCCTTTCTGAAATCAGGACATACCAGCCATCATCTCAAATTTCTCTATTTTCCTCTCCTATCAAAGGCCCTACAACACAGTAACAGCCACAGTAATCAGCCTGGCACAGTTCAGACCAGCAGGAGTATTTTATAACAGGACTGTGCACAGGTGAGAGCTCAAGAATTGTTATGTAAGAGAGCAGTACTGAGAAAAAAAGATAATAAAAGACAGTTCATAATAATGAAACAAAAACTCTGTAGTTCTGCAACAAATATGAAGCATACTGAGTTATGCAGCAAGGGGGCAGAGCAGGGCAGGGTCAGGAGTCTGCCAGGTGTCTAAATTATCTATGCCCTGTATTTCTGCCTTCCAAAAATTTTGAGTAAAACATGGCATTGCTTCCTTTGTGCATAAACTATTCATCAGAGAAGGATGGAGAAAGGAGAAAAAGTCACACTTTCCTGCCTTGGATTCACACTGGAATTAGTAAAGAAGGATGTGACATTAAAGTCATACCAGCCCTGAAGGATCCCAAGTGTCAACACAACCTTCTATCCCACAGTATTAGCAAATAAAATCAGTAAAACTTAAACACACTTTCCTATAATAACAATAAAACATGTTTAATCATGTTTAAATGTTATTAGCTCAATAGCCTTATTAGCTGTGAGCTCAAAAGCCACACTTAGCCAATGTGGGGTTGTTCCCTTCTGTATGAGGCCCCCTCCCCACTACTCACTCTCCCCTCATGGAAATTGTCTTGGAACAACATCCTCCTTTTCTTCTTGCTTTGATGCAGGGTGACAGGACTTCTCTTGAGGGGTGACGATGAAGGCTCTCCCAGGGTAGCTGTTGTGCTGTTCTCACCAGGAAGACATTAGTACTAGCACAGAATGAAATATGGCTAGTGGAGTGACAGCAGCTGTGTCTGGAGTGGCCTCAGATCCTATAATTACATCTCCTTTTATTACCTCTGCTAATGGCCCTCCAGGATGACAGAAATGATAATAAATTAACAGATTATGAACTCCACTTGCCACAAATTATGTGATTTTTTTTTTTTTTTTTATTCTGGGAGCTCCCACTGCCAAACCACTGAAATAATAATAAAAAAAATTGAAATTAAAAAAAAATCCCCAACCTGAATGTCACATCAGCTGTTGCAAATAAAGCAGCTTTTCTCAAAGGGCACCTGGGAAGGAGGGAAACATGCATGCAGCTCTGTGCTAGAGCCAGGGGCTCTCTTTTGGGGCAGTGGTGGATTAGGCACCTTTCAGGGTCAGACTTGAGAAAAGCAGCATGAAACGGATCACGAAGGGCATTTTGTGGATGCTGAGCCATCAACAGCTCAAGAATGCAAAGCAGTTGTGTTTTAGCAATTCCTGGGAGCTGTAAGATGACAGATAATTTCACAACTAGAGGTTCCCCAGTGTTACAATCCTATAATAAATAGCAAGCCTGTGATTTTGGCCAGGTGAAATTAACATTTACTTTCCCTGATCTCAACTCTTACAGCATGAAGAGAGTCATATGATTTCCCCTTTACTTCAGTGATTCAGGGCCAGTTCTTTAGCCCTTGCACTCCACATGTGTGAACACTGGAGGAAAAGGGTCCCAGTTCTGTCAGACATTTCAAGTCCAGGCTTGACACCATAGCGCTCCCTCTTCCCACTCGCCTGCTGGAGCTGGAGCTGTTGGCTACCTGGGAGTGCTTCTGGCCAGGGGCTTTCCCAGGTGGGTGGGGCAATTGCAGCTGGCTCTTCTGTTCTTCTTGGCAAAGGGTAAAATATGGTATCTCCTGTTCTTACTTGTCACAACAGCCTGTGGGAAAGGGCAATTAATAGAGATGCTGTGTGTACAGGCTACTGCTGGAGTTAAATCAATTTTTCTGCTTTATTCTGTAGCAGAAAAGTACAAGCCATGCCTGTCCTGGATCCTCTCACTCTGCTATGTGACTGTTTCTCAATCTTAAAGAAATGTTGTTGGCAGACTGCAATGAGGCAATGGCCTAATGCCCTTTGTAATCCAGGTGGGGATGAAGATGCAGAAAGGCCTTGTGACTGATCCAGAAAATGGACTTAAGGCAGCAGCCTAAATGCTGGACTTATCTCCATGGTCAGAGCTAGGAGAGGGATGACCAAAGGAGAGATCTCAGGTTCTAAAGAGTGGAACAGTGGCTGTGCAACTTTAATCTCAGGGTTACTCTCATCAGTTCCCTGTCCATCAGACAGAGCTGTGGAGACAGGATCCCCAGCACTGGAGCTGCAGCAGCCTGCACTTGGACTGAGTCAGGAGGGCTGCATTCCAGAGCAGCACAGTTCTGAGTGCAGGGCATGAGGGGCAGAAGATGAGGTAAGGGACAAGGCCAGCCCAAGCAAGAGGTGGGATCCATCAGAGCTCTGTGGAGCACAGGCTGTGCTGTACAGGAATCACTCTCACAGTCATGGAGCTGGATTTGCAGCTCTTCTCGCCAGTAGCCTGGACGCCTCTTTAGCTGTTCCCTCTGGCACTCCTCCCCAATGGTTTATTGATTCTTCCCTCCCACCCACTGCTCCCCTCAGACCTTGCACACACAGCACGTGACAGCTGATTGGTATCTGTTAATTAATGTGGCCTGGGGCCTCTTTTCTATTCAGTGGCCTGATAAGGGAAATTGGATGTCCAAGGGCTGCCAGGCCATTATCACCCTTTGCTTCCCCTGGCAACACAAACACAAAACATGGCGTGGAGATAAATAAAATACCACTAACCCACCCTTCTGCCTTCCCTTCCCCAGCTGAGATAGTGCAGATAGAAAAAGAGATCCCACAGTCAGTCAATATAGCAATCATCAGCTCTTTTGTTAATTGCCAACTTGATAACAAGAGAAAATCAAATGATCATCATGGTGGCTGTCTACATAAGCCCCGATGTGGGGCCAAGAGCTGTGAGCAGGGTGGGGTGTGGGATGAAGAAGCCCAGCTGAGCCTTGCATGCAGCCATTGGAGCTGGGAGGCTTCTGCATGGAGGCTCATGAGTTCACAGGTCTTTGGTGATCCCCAAGGCTTCATATGCACCTGGGGGGAAAACTGCCTGGAGAGGCCTCACCCTTCCAGCTGAGGCATGCCTGGGTGTCCCATTCTATCACAGCCCTAGGAACCATTGGAAGCAAGGGGCTGCCAAAAAAAGTGCAATTTCTGTCTGTCCATGGTGGGCAAAAGCTGCCTAGAGAGGACCAGCACACTGTGTTTGACATTGCTGTTTGTAATGACTGTTAGAGTGCCCATCTCCCAGGATCTTTCATGGTCTGGCCTTCAAGGGTACCAGGTATGGAAGGCATAACAGACAGGTTTCCTTCCCATGCACTTTTTTTTCCCCGCCTTGAGGTGGCCATTGCCTCTGTTTTTTGTCCTCTCCACTCTCTCAAGTGGATTCTGGGGCTGTCAGGGTCAGGCTGTCAGGCTCTATTTGGCAAGAATATTTGGTTCACAGGGGCTTGTCCCATTGCTACCAGGTTTGGCTATGATTTAGGTACTTCAGTGTCCCCACAAAGGTATTTTTATCTCTGGGTAGGGTTGTAGGCAGAGCTGCTGGTATGGAAATCAGAGTGGGATGACAAATAGAGGAGAATTCTGTTCACAAAGATATTCATTTTTGAACACATTTTGGTGCTTTGTTGTGGCAGGACTTTTTCCCATCTTTGCCAAAATATGAGACTGTAGTATACTTGTAATTCAGGCCTGTGTCATTCCCTCCTATCCCATCAGAAACCCTCTTTTCTGTCATCTGGAGCTCTTCTCTGCTCATTTTTCAGCTGGGACAGACTAAATGGGCTGCAATACAGACCTACTGAGGAAGAGAGAAAAGGCAATGTGGTACAAAAGAGTTGCTGCTATGAAAGAAGCAGTGGTCATTGAAAAGAGGTTGTCACCAACCTTGGACTCCCATAAATGCAATCAGAGCATCAGAATTCCTGTTTGAGGCTGTGGGTGAGCATAGGAGCAAAGAGAAGGGTAAGGTCCATGTATGCTCATTGCTACAGAGTCACTTTAGTGAGTTGTTTGGGGTATTTTTAAAGCAGCAGGTCAGTAGGGAAGAGTGCGTGGTTTGGATCTCAGGGAAACTAAGGACCCTAGTCTCCTAGAGGCTTTGCTGCACACCCATTTGACCCTGCTTGTCTTTTGCCCTGTTAGGGTTCTCCAACCTCTCCCTTGGAGACCAGATGAGCCTTCTGCAGAGTGCCTGGATGGAAATTCTCATCCTGGGCATTGTGTACCGCTCCCTGCCATACGAGGACAAGCTGGTCTATGCTGAGGACTACATAATGGATGAAGAGCACTCTCGTCTAACAGGGCTGCTGGAGCTCTACCTGGCCATCCTACAACTGGTGCGCCGCTATAAGAAGCTCAAGGTGGAAAAGGAGGAGTTTGTCACACTCAAAGCTCTGGCCCTTGCCAACTCAGGTACAGCCCTGGTCCATGCAGTCTTGCACCCAGCCAGTCCAGGCTCATGCTGTTATTTTACCTGGTAGGAAACTAGAGCCTACTGCCTAAGAATTTCTGCCTGTGTCATGCATATTTTCAAAGCTCCACTCTAAGCTGGAAAGCAGGGAGAAATGAGGCTTATTGCTGCTAGAGCCCCAGCTGTGCTCTGACCCTGTAGTAGGGAGTGGAACAGACAGGGATGGACTGGTTGCTGGTTTCAGGCAGTAAAAGGGTCTGTGGAGGCCTTTTCCACTAGCAAGCTAACTCCAGTGCCACAGGCTCAGAAAAGGGAGCCACACTTGCATCCACCTCCATAGCGTTGGTGAGATACAGCAAACGGGGAACCTCTCATCCCAATTTCAAAAAGCTGCGGGGCTGGGGCTGCCTGACCCTGTCCTGGAGATGTTGAGGTACCAGAGACACTGAATCCCCCTTTAACTAGGAGACAGTGTGGATGTAGATTGCAGCTCTCAATCCAGCAAGGCTGCATTGTATCAAAGCCAGCCAGACACAGATTTGCTCAGGAGTCCCATCGGAAAGGGAAACTGCTAAAGCTACTGCGTAACAAGGGCTCCCTCTACATCCCCTGAGTCTCATTGTTTCACATCAGATCCCTTTGCCAAATTTGCATCATGCATGTCACAGAATTCACCATTGCAGCCCAGCCCTGAAACCAGTATCTGTGTTTGGCTAAAGCCACTTTACAGAAAAACACCCAGTGTGAAACTGGGAGGATTAAAAGAGGGGGAATCTTCATCTTGCTTGGCAGCTGACTCTAATAATTACTCATTCTCTCAGTTTAAAAAAACAAAAACCAAAAGGCATCATGTCTTAATGTTTGTTTGCTTGAGCTCAGCCTTGAAAGAATGATCTTTGTTGAGTTGGATCCTATGACTCTGGGTCTTTTTATATCTGACAGCTTGACATGATAAACTTCCTGTTCCATAGTCATGTTCCTTGGCTATGGATATATTATTTCAAGTGTAAGGATGTGGTCCAGGGTTCTGTGAGGCTGCCTCACCATTTTACACCATTCTGTCCCTGTTTGCCATCCATCCACTCCTTAGCAATAGCAATATAAAATAAAAAAAAATTTCCTTACAGCTCATTGATAAAAATGTTGAGCAGCAGCTGATTTTTCTACTGATCCCTGGGGATTTCCATGAGAAAACTCCTTCTTCAGGGATGATTCATCACTGATAGCTACTGTGAGATCTGTCATCTATCCAGTTACTAATCAATTGAAAGTGTTCTTTATTGATATTGCATAGTGCTAATTTTTTAATGAGAATGTCCTGTGGTCCTAAGCCAAGTGCTTTATAAAAACCTAAGTCTATTATATCTGTGCAGTTAACTTTATCAACCAAACTTGTAATCTCATCAGAGAATGAAATCAAGTTTGTTTGACAAGACCTCTCTTCTCAAGTATCATGTTGACTGGCAGTAAAATCACAGAATCATTTATGATGGAAAAAACCTTTAAGACCACCACTTCCAACTGTTAACCCAGCACTGCCAAGTCCAACACAAAACTATGTCCTTAAGTGCCACATTTACATGTCTTATAAATGCCATCTTATTAGTCTTAATTGAATGTCACCTTTATTTTTTCCTTTCTTTTGCCCTGGTTCACATCAAGCTAGCATAGAAATTATCAGGTAAGACCTAGGAAAATGTGTGCATCATTAGAACACTTCCATTCATCTTGAATTTTGTAAAAATACCAAGACTTACTAATCATTAATCTGCCCTGGATGACCCCCAGCCAGCAATTTTAGAACTCTTAAAGCCAAGTTATCCAGCTCTGCTGATTTCTGTGAAGTTTGTCCTAATAGTTCTAATATCTTCTTGCATAAACAACAGATTATGAAGTCTTTATCACCTTTGTATAACACAGGTATATAATGCTTCTCTTTTCCAAATAAGACAGAAATACTCACAGAGGACTTCTATCTACTCTGCACTGCTATTAATAGGTTAATAATCTCCAGTTGAAAAGATCCCCCCTACAAATGATCATTTTTCTTCTATTCCTTAAATATTTATAAAACTTCTTTACTGTCCTTAGCCCTTCTAGACATTGCTTTTCCTCCTATGTCCTTCATTTCCCTTATGGTTTTTCTGCACTTCATAACTTTGTTCCCTTTTTTAATTTTTCATATAGTGCTTTTTTAGTTTTAATTGCTGCCTTCACTTTGCCAGTGAACCAGGATGGGCAGATGGCCAAGGCTAGCCTCTCTCCTCTGTGCAATGGTGGCTATGGGTGATATAATCAACTTGTTAAAGAACCTGTCTGCCAGGAGGGTCACAGGACTAAACAGGGAGAAGGGCTCCTCAGAGAGGCTGAAGTCTAAGGTAGCAGTTGTGACAGGAGAAGTGGCACACTGGGACATTTACCTGGCCCGTGCTCTGGACACTGCTGTCAAGTTCTTCACAGTGCAACAGAAGCACTCTCTGCTGTTGCTGCTCACTGTGCTTTCAGGACTAAGCCCAGAGTAAACCTTATGAGACAGTCTCCACAGGAGTGGAGTAACACTGAGCAAAGACAGAGCAGAACAACCAACACTCATCAGATGCTTTGGGGTTCCATTTCCAGTGCTGTGGAATAAAGAAACCAAGGTAAGGGTCAGGAGGCACAGGCCAAAGCATGTTCTCAGCTGGATGGAAAAAATGACTCTGACTTCACTGGTGCAGCTAGAAGTGTAGCTATGTAGAAGCATAATGCACAAAAGTCCTGTTTTGTTATTTGTATTGAAATATGGGAAAGTGAAGCATGGGGATTTTGTTTTTCATATAATTAAAGCTTCTCATGACACACAGGTAAGGAAGCTGGAATAGGGCAAGTGTATTTTTCTGTTGTAACTTAACATTGAACCTTCACATTCTTTTGATGCCAGTTCTTTTTCTTAGTGTATTTTTGACAGGGATAAACTTACAGAGCCTGCATGTGTGTGCTTGCATGCAAACAGCCAATTCCTAAAACGGGAGGAAAGCAGTTTGGGCCAGGCTTCAGCTCCCTTGGATCAGAGATAGGGCTTAAAGATGAACACCAGATTCATCTTTAAGATTAGAACTTGTGCTGCCTAAAATTGCTTTCTGCCTTCCTTCCCACACAGATAAATTCTGGGTGTAATTGCTCATGCAATCCAAGTTCTAGGGACTTAGGCAGCCCTGTGTGTACTTGACCCTTTGGTTCTAGGAATTAAAACAAATGAAAATAGAAGTGGGAGCTCACTCACTTTTTACTAGAGAAGAAGCTGACAGTAGGCTGATCTCTGAGTCCTTGGTGTGACACACCAACAACACACCTGCTGGGATTGGCAAAGATAATTCCAGGGATCTCCGTTTAGTAAGTGCATTCTAGAGAGCTGAGGGATGAAATCTTAATTCCCAGAGCAGCAGGCAAGTCCCAGACAATATGATCACCCACTTTTTGACAGAGTAGAGGTGATGTAGACCTAATTTGTTACCCTTCAGAGTCAGCAGTCCATTTTTAAGCATTCCTAGGTCCTCTTTCCTTAGGAAAAAAAAAAAAAAAAAAGATCAACCTATGTATTGAGGAGCCCTCTAGGTTAGCATACAGCAGACATTCATTTTAGGACATCCCAGAGCAGCCGAAATTTATTTCCCCTTTTTTCTTTCTGCAATGCATTTTAATGCTAAAATGGAGTGAGCAATATCTGGACCTGGCAAAGGGATGCATAGCAAATTCTGTACTAATGGGTCCTGTTCCTGTCAGAAGCTGCAAGAACAGAGGTGAGGAAGCAGTGGGCCTTGTCCATTCTCACACCTGCCCTGTACCCCATGCCAGCAGTGCTGGAGAAGGGCTCCTGGTATGAAGCCCAGCTTCTAGGCCAGCTGACCCTCAGGGACATGGTCAGGCAGCCTGCCCCCACCTCAGTGCTCCAATAGCTGTAAAAATTCATAGCTATTGATTTCGTAATTAACAGTTTATCAATGCCATTGACACCAGTTCACTGATGGATTGCAAGGAAATTAATCCTGCAATGTTGTTTTATTTTTTGCAGTCAGCTGCCAATTTTGAGCTTCTTTCAGCAGTGTGGTGGTGGTAGGGCAGGCTTTGAGCTTTATTTCCCCAGTTTCTCTCACTGTATACACTTATTTACTGCTGTTAAGTCTTGTCACCTTACAGAAGCCAGATGGCAGAAGGGCAGTTTTGGGATTCTGTCTAGTGTACAGCAGCATCAGTACCCAAAAGCAGAGCACCCACTTTACCCTGAAACATGGCTCATTGCATGGTAATTCTAGCACCCACTGGGAACTGCAAACTCTGACAGGCTGTGATTACTTCTCTCCTTTGTGCCCCTAGCCAGAAGGACATTAAACAGAAAGGATAGAAGACATTCCAGCTTTTGATACTTCCAGTCTTCAAAATGACCTCTGTGACTTGGCAGGAAACAGATCCCACTCACTTCTCTTGGATTGTGTATGGAAATTTTTCAGAGGTGCTACCTGGCTGGGAGAAGTTGCCAGACTGACTTGGCAGCATGCTTCTTCCTCCTTGCTTTTCAGAATCAACCTCTGTGTCTAGCTCAGGTCACTGTGATGACCTAGCAGCTCTCTTCTGAGCTTCTTTGCCTGGTCTCTTGGATAAGAAGTGTAAATGTATCAAGAGTTGTTCTTCAGTAGGCTTCTTGGGAATACTTCCCTTTAATACTTTCTTAATTAGTGTATTCCTTCTGAACAGCTTCTAAACAGCTTTCTTGCTAGACATAATATTTTCCCAACTGTTGTAATACTTTATAAATCATGCATCATAAATAGCATTTTTACCATAAATGAATTATACAAAATTCACAGTCTCTAATTTGTGTTGTGCTCTCCATAAAGATGACACATGTTTCTAGAGAGATTTTGGCACTTCAGTCAGCTTTCCTCCTCTTCACTGCTGTCACTCTGGGGAACCCATGTCCTCACATTTGTGTTTGTGTGTAGGCTGAGACTACACTGAGACTACTTTGCCACAAAGCAAAGTCCAGGCTGTGATGGTAGGCGGTGCAATTACATGTGTGCATGTGTGCTTGCCATACTGTCTCTTTGGCATTGCTTCTGGATTTGTTGCCTTGTGGCAGGAACCTTTATCAATAGGTTCAGTATTGATTAAAAGTCTCTGAACAATGAAGAGGAGGCATCAGTGTCTCCAGCTCTGTCACAATTGTAAGAAAGAAGCATGTATCAGCAAGATGAAAAGGGAGAAAACCTTTGGTGATGCTGTGCCTCTCTGCTCTTTGGTGCTGCCCTCTCACACCATGACTTACCCACAAGTTTAGCAGTCTGTGTCCAGTCTGGCTCTCTGTCTCAGCCCTGGACTGAGTCCTTACCAGCTAGCTACCTTCACTTCACAGACACACCAGGAGCCTTGCAAACCCTGTAGCCCCTCCAACAGCTCATAGAAATCTGACTGGCAGCCTAAGGGAAGAGGCCTTGCTGGAGGCATGGGATTCCTTTATTTCAGCAGGAAGCTCCTTGAGCAGCTGCTGGCAGTCTCTGAAAGCAGGGGCATATGCACAAAGGTGGGTCTGGCAACACCCCTGGGCACACTGGTTGTGACCTATGGGGCTTTTCTGTCTTGCTGATACCCTTAGCAGCTGCACAGCAATTAGGCAGTTTAGACAGATGAAGCACTGTAGCAGCGTTAATTATTCTTAATGAGATTGCTCCCAAGCGGCAGAACAGCAGCTGCTGCCCCTTGCAGGGTGACTCTCCCCATAAGGAGCATGGAGGGCAAGTGAAAGTGCAAATCACAAAGGCCCCTGCCTGACCCCTGCATTGCATTGGGGTGGCTGGCAAAATGGGCAGCACACAGGGCACGTGTGTCACCCACCTACCCCTGGCAACCCTACTGTCCCTGCACTGCTAGGGCAAACACTCTGGGCTGCTGCCAAACTTCATGCAGCAGCACAACACCTGCCAGCTAGCTGTTTTTTTTCTGCTTAAGAAAAAGCCAAACAACACCCCTCACCCCCTGCCTGGGTGGGTTGGGGGGGGGACGACAAAAACAACTTAAAAAATCCCCACAAGAACAGATAAGAAGGAAAGAAAACATCATTAGCTTCAGAACCATAAAGGATTTCCTTTCTCACATCTGACTTGTCTGTTTGCTGTCTTTTCTCCCTCACCCCAGACTCCATGCACATAGAGGACATGGATGCAGTGCAGAAACTCCAGGACCTTCTCCACGAAGCCCTGCAGGACTACGAGCTGAGTCAGCGCAATGAGGAGCCCCGGCGAGCAGGCAAGCTGCTCCTGACCTTGCCCCTCCTGCGGCAGACGGCTGCTAAAGCTGTGCAGCACTTCTACAGCATCAAACTGCAGGGCAAGGTTCCCATGCATAAACTCTTCCTAGAAATGCTAGAGGCAAAGGTCTGACAGCCCCAGCACCAGCCCACAGTGGCCGGGGAACAAACTAGAAACAAAGACGCAGACAACGGAGCAATCCAAACAGCAGCAGCAGCCACCGCCGGCTTTTATCTCCAATCATTTATTACGGAAGAATTATTTAATGTCTATCTGTCGGTGTGACTGCAGAATCTTGTGTACAGGAGGGGGGAAACTTTTAATCAGTCACCTGTTTCTCTTTTTTTCATTGTTTTCTCTGTGGGAAATACCAGATTATGCTCTTGCACTTGTTGAGGCATCGTGGGGGCTCAGCCTCTCTGATCAGTGATGCTCTCAGCGCTGTCCAGGCTGCCTGCTTCCCAGCACCCTCTGCCAGTTCTGGAGGGGAGTGGGGACAGAAGCAGGAAGAGAGAAAGAATAGAGTAAATATAAACTTTATCTGCTGGTGTTATGAGGGGTCAGTTAGAAAGGGAAGCAGCCATGGTTCTTCTTTTTGACACCTTTCTTCCTCTTACCATAGAGTAGATGCTCCTTTGGAGAACAATGCTGCTGGACCTCTCCTGAACAAAAAGGCTGCCTCCCAGACTCCTCTAACACTTGTACATACAGGCCCCACTTCTTACTGGGAAAGCTGCTCCTAACTGTGTAAGATATTCTGCGACCTTGTACAGTGTGTCATTACGCCTGGCTAGTCCCTCCTGTGTACAATCCCTGCAGGCCCCTGAAGAGGTAGGATGTATGTCCCTGAGAAAATGCAAGTCTTTCCCAAATGGCAAGAGAGAAGAGCCTGATGTTATACTTCAGTGCTGGGTTGACTTGATAATCTCTGCATCCTCTCCTATGTGGTGCTAACTACAATTCTTCCACACTTTTCACCCCATAGTGTATCACACCTGCCTCTTCAGCTCAGCTGAGTGCCATTCCCCACCTGTTCCTTGTGGCAGAGAACACAAGGCTTTGTCTGCATGGTTACTGCCCAAGTAAAAATACACCCCAAACCAGATCTTTCCTAGACTTCATTAGAGCTCTTTGGCTCCACAGAGACTAGGCTTATTGCCAAATTCTAGTTAGGAATCAAGGGCACTGCTTTTCAGAGGAGGCAGCTCTAGAGCCTGAGAGATTGCTTTATTGTGGCAGGCTAGGGAAATAAATTAGAGGATGGCATGAAACCCCTGATACTCCAACTACTGTCTTCCCCTGCCTCATCCCATTATCCTCAACAGCAGGAAAAGAGCTAGCATAGATTATACCTGGGGCTGGTAGGAGGTTCTCTTGCTGATCAGAAAGCAAATACCTGACCTTGGGGTGGTGGGAGAAGAACAAGGGGAGTGTTTATTTACTCTTTTATAACCAGGTTCCTACTGTCTCCAAGACCTGGTTTAGATCTGTGGCCTAAGCCATAACTGCTACATTCCCAGTAGCCAGAGGGGAATGTAGGTGACTGACAAAACTGACTGTTGGTGTTCTCTGAAACTTTATTTTCTAGGTCACTTAGTTTTAAGCCATCCTGAACTGACAAAACCTGAATGTATTCTCTTTTTTTGTGGTCAACAGCATGACGCTTGTGGTGAGAAAAAACCTCTGATCTACGTTTGAGACACCACTAACTCTACTGTGTCTGTTCTCCTCAAGCTTCCACCCCTTCCTAGCTTCCCCAGGAGAAAGGTGGTGTGTAAGAGGAGTAAATTGCCCTCAGGAGGAAGTCTTCCAAACCAGGGTTGAGGTGTGTGATCAGAAACACTGGGTGCTTGTTTTCTGCTGGAGCAGAATGTGTCCCAGCAGGGCTGTCAATACTGCAGACCCCTGCCCTGGCAGGCTCAGACACAGAGGGGCTGGCATGGTGACCTCTCAGCTCTCATAGCCAGCCCACACCTTGAACTTAAGTTAGTTTCATTTCATCTCCTTTGACTTCTTCCTATGTTACACAGTCACTCATTTTGTACTCACTTGATAAAGGAATTGTCTTACTTCAGGCATATTAGTAAACCACCAGAGACCTTGGGGGCAGAAGGCACATTGGAATTGGGACTCCTTCTTTGCTCACAGCAGTAGCAATTACACAGTATCCTTGTGCTTCAAGAGGATACCTGTGCTTCTCTTTCCCGCTCCCTCCCAAAGGCAGCTGGGGAGAAAATGAGAGGCTTTTGGTTGCACTCATGATCCCTGTACCTATCTGTGACTGAGGGACCAAAGTGAAATGCATGCCACCATTACAGAGCCAGCTTGCCATATGCTGCACTCTGGCAACTCTTTCTGGCTGTGGCAGAATTGCTTTCACAGATGTGCTGTGTTGCATTATCACCTGTAAGTTTGACTCACTCGAGCACTGCTCCAATGCTGCCAAGTGCCACTCAGCTGAGCTGCTGCACATTGTGTCCCAGCCTGCTGTGCAAAGGTAGCTGGCCCAAAATGGGCTGAAAAGATCCTAAGAAGCAATTCTTACTCTGTTGGGCCCTGCCAGAAAGGTCACTACTCACACGCCAACACACCCACCTAATCTCCCCTCTCAAAAAGCCCCAAAACTACCCAAAAACAACCCCAAAAGGCTCTTCTAGCTTTGTTGTATTTGAACTCAGGCCTGCTCTCCCTAACAGGAAACTATCTACAAAACATGATTATGGAGAGCTGCCGAGTTAGCTTCTAGCTCACAGAGACTGCTGGCTATTTAGATTAGGGCTATGGGATGGAGGCAACTCCTGCCTTGGCATAGCAATATGAAGATACCAAATACATTTTTTCCAGGAACTTCTTTCTCCATTAAAGCTGCATAATGTTGGACCCCATCCAAATACTCTCCATTGCTTGAAGATAATATGCAGGGAAGTGTTTGCATTTCTTCTGAAATAGGATGGGAAGTGAAGCAGACAGTACTTAGGATATATTAAACTCTCTAGCCAAGGAATGCAAACTCTTTCCCAGGAAATGGGACACAAACACCTGTCTAGATTTAACCCTTAAAAGACTTGTACCATCCTAAATTGGGAAGCAGATCAGGTCTCTTGAGCCCTTCAAACAAGTGCAGGAATCACAATAATCTCCTTCCAGTTACTCTCATCTGCTGTGCATCACTAGTACTATCACACTGACACAGCTGAGGAGCATTTCCAGCTACACAATGGGCTGGGATTGCAGAGAAGGGTAACAGTGTAGTCCCCCCAATGCACTTTGAAGTAGGAAATGAAGCTTCAGCAACTGCTTAGGTCTTTGAATGCTCACAGTCTCTTACAAAAAGGTCTGGGGATGTGGAAGGTGAGACATGAACTAGGAGATGGGTTTTAGGTCAGTAGTCTTTATGTTGCTCATTTGTAATATAGGATTCACAGAGTCAGTGTCATACAGCTGTCCTTCTTCATGGGGCAAAAGATGATGGAGCTTGAGCCTCGGGACACAGATGGGCTCTGTGACTTAAAGAAAAGAGAAGCAGTAGAGGTAAGTATAGCAGTGACAGTGAATAAATCAACACCAGCAACTATGGTAAAAGCAGCTCCAGCCCCTGATTTGCATGTGTGGATAACAGAAACCATATACCTGCCAGCTACTACAAAAGGCAGTTCTTCCCAAGTGACCAGCTCTTCTGTTTTGGGCACATTCTTCTCTGGGAACAGCAGTGTCTGACCTGTAATGCAAAACAAATTTCATGGGGATCAATTAAAAGGTAAATTACCACTCTGAATTTAGGTTTCTAGGGAAACTTGGGCATTACACCTCGCAGCAAAACTGTGAAGCTACAAGAAACATCCCCACAACAATCAGAACCTTGCAGTATTGCTCATGCTAAGGGGGCATTATTTTTCTCTTTGTAAGCTATATCATCTTTTTTTTTAAACTATTATAAATATATAAAATAAAACATGCTTCACCAGAAACATGTAAGCAGCTATTAGAGGGGCAACTAATTGAGAAAGACCCTAGAATGTAACATGTTGAGCTTTTATTACCAATCGGAGCTATAATCAATCATATGGCCAAAGGCTGCTCTGTTGTTCTTGTGGCTGGGTTACATGGAGAAGCCAGAGAGAGACAGAGGCTGTGAGAATGATGCAGGTAGTCATAGACAGTCAGTGAAATAAACAGTATCTACTTAACTATTATCTGCTCCTAAAAAAATAACAACCTGTTAAATAAATTGTATTCCTGTGGTACAGGTCATTTCAAACAAAACAAGAAATAAAACAAAGAAATGTAAAAACTAATGCAGACAGAGTAATGTTTATTGTGTTAGGAGCTGCTCTGTTCTGTCCCCCAGGAGGCACATGGCTCCACAGAAAAGGCCAGTGGGGGGAAAGTGTGATCTGTCTGTATTTGCTATGGAAGAGCAGGAAACCCCCAGCCCTCTCACTTAGAAATGCTCATTTCATGTTTTCCCATATATAAAAAAAATTCTCAGCAAGCTTCTGAGTTTTTGTGAGATGAGCTTTGCTGAGAACTTTTAAGACAGGCACCGTTGTCAGTCTCTGCCACAGACCAGTTTATTTCTCCCCCTCACTCCCTTTCTTTCCATGTTCTACACTTCAGTGGTGCAAGGGATAAACAGGAGCTAGAGATGAAAAAATCTTGAAGTTGTTCCAGTGAAGAAACACCTCTAATCATAAAATAGACCACTGGCTTAAACCCAGCAGTGACATCATGAGTGTTGCAAGCATTACAGCAGCTGTCCAGTGCTTATGAAGTGGATGCAAGTGCTAAAGTTGTGGCATTGGCATTGATTGCTGGTCAGGCAGCACAAGAGGGAAGGCTCATAGCTGCTTGAGAAAGCAGAAGGAAATGCACTCTGCTAATTGGGGCAGAGATGTGAGAAACAAGGACCCCAGTTTTTTGTTCTACCTCTGATTCTATCAGGTACCAGACACCATCCCAACCTGTTTAAGCACCTCCAACACACCTCAGCCAACACTGCTAATGTCCTAATGATGCATCAAACCAGGCAATCAAGAGGCTGCTCAGCCTGCCCTCTGAAGAGGAGGTGGTGGCTGAATTAGTGGTGGCCAGTGGGAAAGGCCACGGGCTAAAAATGAGCCTGAATGAAAAAA